AACTGGAGCATAATATGATAAAGAGTAATTGCAGACAGTAGACCTTATAGAGCAATGTACAATGAAGAATTAAGGAAAAGTCAAAAGAATATGAAAAATCATTTTTCAGTTCAAATTTATAATACAAATTCATATCGTTAGTTGTTTCACTGGGGTTATTCAGCAAGTAAATACTATGAAACTAAGGATAATCGGGTGAACAAGTAGTAGACTGAAAATAGAATTTTCTCATCTCATGGATTACAACGAATATTTTCTATTCTGTAATTCGCAACAGAATCAGACAGGAGACTGGGTTTTATCAGTTACCTTGCAGTTCTCCCCGTAGAGTGGTAGTGTACGTGACAGGAATCTGTCATTTGACAGTGACTGATGTAGTCGTTTAAGCTTTAGTTCCTAGCAGTGACGAAAGTCTGTCTTTAAAGTCTGCAGTGTGGCCACCAAGCCAAGGACGTGACATTGACAACGGACTCTCAAAATATAATACTAAAATTGACGCTGTTGTTACTAATGTTTCACAGATGGCTTACTATCTTGTCTATGAATAGCCCCCACTCATTAATATGCAGTTGATTCAAGTTGGCTGGACACACTTGAAACAGTTCGTGTAGCACTTGTCAATAATTCACTACAAAAATGTCGTTTACTTGCCCAACGTTAACTGTATGATACAGGCAGTATATTTCAGCCTTCTTTCACTTGCTGAGGATTCCGTGTCAAACTTTTTTATATCAATCAATTCCAGCAAAAATTCAGTAGTTTTCTGTAATAGTAACTACTTACTACGGTATGAAGAGCTACAAATCAAATCAGCCGAGTCATGATGGATTTAAAAATTGAAAATTAAAATGCTCTTTCAGCTTTTATGTTATCAGTTATGTAGACAAGAGAAACTTCCTCAGCAAACCTAATATTTTCAGATATTCAAATTCGATCACTCTAATTTAATGCATATGAAAAATAAGCAGAATGTAGATAGTGACTGGAATGTTTCGACTTACCATTGTTCATACATTAACTAACTGTGTTGTTCCTAGAAAGTGTATCTTAAATCAGTTTACACTTGTTCATAAAATACATCTGTAGAGATCAAAAATTCTCGAAAACAGTAGTAAGATTTCGTATGCAAAAACAGTTACGGCTGAAGCATGACTTAAAGTTTTATAACTTAGTGATATACACTTATTCATTTGATGTAATGCCTAAAATACCTCCAAATCAATTGGACCACTTACTACTGGTGTTATAACTTTATGTAAATTGTAAATAATTTGAAATAGGTTCGTTATGAAGAATAGATAAACAGAGCTTCCAATATTTAATAATGAGGAATAATACAAAATATTTTTCCAGGCGAAAACTAACAAGTTGGCAGAAGAGAGAGCGAAGACGAGACTTCAAGTGAATGTAGAGAAGACAGATATGATGAGGGTACCCTACCAATAATGACAATGACAAACACCAATCACCGCCGATTGCAGAAATCGAAAGAAGTTGTCTCTTTCACCTACATAGACAACATCGTTTCAGCCACAGGTGGTGGCACAGTTGAGGATGTCAAAACAAGGATCAGAAAAGCAAGATAGACTTTCATTACCCTGAAATTAGTGTGAAAATCTGTTGGACTGCGCTCGGCATAAAGCGTGAACAAGACCCGGATATTCAACAGCAATGTTGAGTAAGCCAGCGCTACTATGTGATGGTTCAGAGACTTACCGCTTTGCTAGAAGTATTTCCAACAAACTGCAGACATACATCAACATTTGTATACGCTTGATGCTGAAGATCACATAGATGACCAGAAGGAATAAGTAACAAGAACTCACTCTGAAAGCGAACCAACCAAGAACCTATCGCCCAACAAATATGTAGCAGAAGAAGATGGAGATGGATTAGACATACATTGGTAAGACCATTTGGGAATATGACGTACCAGGCCAGTCCCTCGAGTGGAAGCCAAAGGGGAAACGACGAGTTGGGTGTCGAAAGGTAACATGCAGGATATCATGTGAGGAAGGAATGAAAGCTTCTGTGCGGTTGTGAAGCCATGTTAGAAAGACTGCAGAAATGATAGTGAAATAGCAACATGCTACTAAAGCCCTAAGTTCCACTAGGAACCCAAAAGACAAATAATAATAATGTGATAATGTTATTTTCCCTAACAATGTACTACGCCAGGATTACACAAGTAAACTGCACTTGATATAAATATGCTCCTAATACTTAATTTGTTGTGACATATCAGTAACCTGGTTCAAAATTGGATAGTTTGATTATTTTTTAACCGACTTCAAGCGAAATCTTTCAACCACTTAAAAAGTCTTTTTACATTACTTTGTCACGTTGATTATTTAGTGAACATGTATTACAATTCCCTAAAGCCATCAAAAAGAAATAACTATTATGAAATATCTAATTTCATACGATTTATCACGGTCACTTTTCACAACGAAGGAAGAATTATTGCCTTCAGGTTGGCACTCATCGTGAAATGACACCAGTGAGAGAAATCTCGAAAAATAGGGGCACTGATGAGCAGTTTTGTCTTAGTATATGGTTCCTCAGTAGTGCGTCCTCATGATCCAGCCGAAGATCGAACACAGTACCTATATGCCCTGTAGCCAGCAAGTTACCACTGAGCCACTGAGTCGGAATTTAGTGGTCCATGTTTCCCATTTACGTCAGCTCGCAATATAGCGCAAACTCCATCCGATGTTGTCGCTGAGTGACTGTCTTCGTCCGCCTTAGTTGGCCCCACCGGTCACAACTTCTCTTTAGAACTTTGGAAATCAAATGTCGAATAAAGTCATCAATGAGCACTAGAGTAGCTCTTTTTTGTAGCTACTTATTGATTTGAGGTTGGTATTCATCATAAATTGACATGAGTGGGAGAAACAATGGAAAAATGGAAACATTGAACAGCTGTTCCTACCTACTATAGGACTTTTCAGCAGTGCGCACCCATTACCTGTCAGGGGTGTGGTTCCTGAAGTTCCAATGGAAAGTCGCAACAAGCGAGGCCACCTACGTTGGACATGAGGACAGTAACTCAACGACGGCATTACGTGGAGGCCATGTTATGTCGTGAGCCGACAGAAGGAGGAGATGTGGACCAGTGGATTCCAACTCACTGGTTCAATGGTAACGTTCTGGCCTCGTAGCTCGAGGGCCAAAGGTTCGAACGCTGATGGGTTCGTGAATGGTGACGGTTGCAGTATCCTATACTAGGATGAAGCAGCTATCCGGAGCTTCCAGTTTCTCAACTGTTGTCAGTTTATAGTGAATACCAACCTCAAATCAATAAATAAATACCCACAAACTACTAAATTGGAAAAAAAATCATCTCGGTATTACATTCACTTAATGTGTTCTTTCATTCCTGTGTTTGGATAACGTCAATCCAGTTCCTAAAATAAATTATTCCTGATTCATTTGTTTGGAGTATTTAGTGGTACGTCATGTTTGTTAGTTATCTGTATTTTACAGCAGGGAAAAACTAGTTTAAATTTGAGGTCAGTCAGTTTTCACCTCCCAAAATAAATATATATAGCATGTTATGAAGTTGAAGTAGATGATCATACCTATAGGGATAAGCTGTTTCAATATGTCTTCCTAAAAGCTCAATACATTTAACTCAAAACTGACAAACAACTCAGTGATTTCTAAAGAAATATCACAAGTCAAAAATTCATGTTTGCAATAATTCAGATTTACCTATTAATTATATAAAACCATCTCAGTATACATCATTCATCTGAAAACTAAGTTTATGTAAAATAAAAAGCGGACTGTTTGGAAGTGATCCCTGTCTTCAGTCTCGTAATTATGCGTCATGTTCTGCTATCCAACACATTTAGCTGTACATACTGCTCTCTAACTAATAAGTAAACTGCGTCATACATATGTAAGTGGATTACAGATGCAAAACACCTACCTATATGATCCAACTTTAGTAAAGTGTGTCATTTTCATAAAAAGAAGAAAAGATAAGTGCTTAGACACTAATACGGGTCAAAAATCTATCCACTAGAATAGTTATTTTAACTTGGGGTCATCCGATTGTACAACACCCACCGTAGTTTTAGTGAGACGTTAAAAATGGGACGAAATCTCTGCTTAGTAACACAGAAAATCTACAATGGGAAAAAAATTAAGCGAAATCCTATTACCCTATAAACGTTTTCCTTAAGTGACCCAGAAATATCGAAAAAAATATTTTAAAAGGGTAATTGACTTTAACTTGACTGCTGAGTGTGGTAGTAATAATAATCACACTAAGAAACTGGAATTCAAAGCTTCACTAGTCTTCCAGTTCACTGAAGTAACCATAATATGTTTGTGTAGGGTTTTTACACAGAATTGAGTCAAGGTGATATTTCTAAAAGGAAACTCGTAAAAAGCAAGTTCTGTGAACAAAAGAATGTTGGTAAGCCTGTTAAACATGATAATTAGGCTTATCAAATTTCCTACAATAATATTAACAGCTCAGCGTCTTTTATGACAACATGCCACAAAACATAAACCATGAGGTAGAATAGAATATCCAAGTAAGAAAATAAATCTAGAAGAACGTTCTGCCTCAGCAGTGTATGTATTCACACAAGATGATGGTACAAAGTAGTAATCCTACAAACTAATGCACCAGGATGAAAGAAAAGTTTCATAAATAAAGCCTTTTTGATCGAATTAGTATCAAATGGATGCAATGGAAGTGATTCAGGACCTACCCCTGATATCTGAAAATCATTCAACCCTAACCACAAGTGAAAAAGTTAATATAAGCATTTGGGCGAAAACTGCATCATACATTTTTGTACGGCTATGGAAAATAAAATGTTTCACTATGTGAAATAGCCGATAGACACTAATGTGAAATTATACACTACCGTACAGCCGAATTCTACTCTGATAACTGGTAAAGAAACATTTATTATCTGCGTTCACAGACTGTTTAGAATTGCAAGATGGGATGAGAATATATGAACAAACGGAGTACTCACCATATTTGGGCTAAATTTAGCATCATAGATCCTTTTAGATCTTTGTAGAAAGATTTTTAAATTACCATATTTAGCATTAGAATAGATTATTACTGGTCGACTAATTGTCTGTTGATTTATATGAGAATCATCATGAATTAAATTGTTTGAAGCTGCAATAATTGTTGATAAGTGAGAATGTTTTGTTCCAGCAAATTTACATGCATCAGTCATGAAAACACGTACTTGATCTGTCGTAGCCTTTTCTGTTTAGCAGTTGAGAGTTTATTTATTGACAGCATGTAAATAAACAAGAAGAAAAATGTCATTTTGAACGAATTACTTAATAAGATTGTATTCAACACGGACGGGTATCATTTGGGGAATCTTGAAAAGGACTGAAAGCACTGAAGAGCTGTTTCATGCTGATTACGTCCCATACAAGGAGGAAGCAACTGTTCAGTACTCTAAGGTTTTCAAAGGTTCCCCAACGGATATCTGTTTGTGATGAATGCTACCATAAAAATAAAATTCCCCATAGGTCCCAAACTAAACTAGTTACTGGGAACTCAAAATATTTTTGGATTACATCCGTCATTACAGTTTCCTAATTATAGTTGGTTAAAAACTATCTTATCTAAAGTAACGGTTCAGGCTTCTGCATTTTAACTGCAGTATATACATGTATTTACTCTATACACGAGCATGGCTCTTAACCTCGAATGGTTGTAAGATCTGCACTACTTCATTTTGGATTGTTTGTTTGATATGGTACACAGCAATGGATTATCATTTACTGGATAACGTTTCGAGTAAAATTTACTACTCAGATTCTCATCATATGACCTCTATATGAATATGAGCAGTAAACATTGCTCGAAATGTCATTCAGTTAATAATGCTGTTTCATTGTGTGCTATATCAAATAAACAATCTGATATGAAGTAGTACAGATTTAACATCCATTTGACGTTACTCACTGTTATAGTGTATCTCTCAAAGAAGTGGAGTTATTGTTATCAGACAACGGACATTAATGTCCGAAACGTAATCTAGTAAATAATACTGTTCCACTGCGACATATATTTGATAGGTCAGCTAAATGAGATCTCATATGGAATTACACTCAACTACAGTGGCCACATTTTACTCTTACCTGTCTGTATTATCTTTTGTTGTTTGTTAACTTATTCAGGTTGAGTCAGTAACTGATTCAGCTTCTCCGTTTTTGTATTTTGTCAATGATAAGACCATATAGAAACTGTTTAAAGAAGTATCCCTTCTAAGTAGTCGTTGAAGATAAATTGTCACTTCTTAGTCGAAAAGGAGGATGTTACATGAAAATCTTTCAACTATATATCCTTTTCATCCAGTTACATTTAAGCTGGGGAAAAAACTGCTTATGTAGTGTTGTAACTACTTGTTTAGTTATCATCTGTTAAACAAGCCACAACCACTTTCCAATAAAATACATTTTGACTATTAGTCTTTAAAATCTCACATGTATTATTATTATTGTTCCTGTTTGTGACGCTGAAATTACCGGGAACCCTCTATACTTGTTCTGATGTTAAAAGCAAAGTTTCGGTCATACCTATTTCGTGTACTCATTTATTATAGTCACCTGTAAAATTTGGTATGTGTGTGTTGAAAGAAATTCAAAGTTGCAACTTAATATAAGAAGAATAAAGAACAAACCAGTTAATGTTTTGACCAATACTTTCTTCCATTTATTTGAAAATACACCATTTCTTCGAAGTGTTACGAGAAGTTTGGCTTGGTGTAAACTACTGAATGTCCCTGTAATAAACATAAAAACAAAATCAAATAATTAGACCAAGTAAATGGCTAGATAAATAAAGTATTTACCTTCATGAAGTATTATTAAAAACAATTTGGTAATTCTTTCGCTTTTGATCTGTCCAGTTTCTTAAAGTTAAACATTCCAAAGTGCTAAAAATTCCCATTATGAAGACTATAACAAGACATATAAGTGAGCAGTATTGAAAGTTATGTGTATTAGAGTGAAGCGTGATGAGATCTACCTGAACATTAACTTAAAGATACCGGTGAACATATCAAGTACTCACTAATAACCTGAACAGCGTAGCTATGGTTTCAGGAAATGCTTCAAAAACCTTCTGGTTTGCCATAAGAATAGTGCAGTTCATTTCGTCGAAACGTCGCAGTGGACCGACTATATATGTTTCTATTTATATCCAAAATGTTTGTGTAAAGACAAAGCTTTAGTACTTCTTCAAGTATGTTCCTATAAAAGAGAAATTCTAGTTGAAACTGATCGGTTTATAATCTATTTCATTATTCTGTGTTAAGTTTGCATGCATAAAGAATTGCAATATTCAACAATGCTAAGAAAATAAAAAATTTAAAAGAAAAGGAGCAGTTATGGTGAATTTCATTACCTCATATGAGTTATAAGTATTAGATTTAGTAGAAAAGTTTTATTACTGAGAATGAGGACGGAAATTATTTTGTGCTAAGACATTTCGTCACCGATCTAGGCAACTTCCTCAGCATTTACTTAAAAAATCGGATATTTAACACTGAAATTCAATAGATTTGCACATAAAAATCAAGTTTTTGAATGACGCTATAACCATCTCTTATCGGTAGTTGCACTCCTAGACTAATTGAAGGGTTATGAAAAGGACTGACTGAGGTAAAGTATTAAAAACAGGAAACAATAAATATAAAAATCTTTCTTAATAGCTTCCTCTCCAAACTTTATTATTCACTTTTACCAGGTAATAAGAAGCAAATTATTACTGTCAGGTAGATAAAATAAAGTAATCACAATTTTTAGAGGAGCATAACAGTGATGCGTTTTGCCACAAATGACCAATAGAAACATAAAACTAAGCAGTGCAACACCAAAGGATCACTCATCTTTATGAACTAAATGCTGACGAAGTCACCTAGAATAATGATGAAACGTCCAAAGACAAATTTTAAAGTTCAAAGAACACCGAATAATTATCATCCTTATGTTCAGCTAAAAACCTCCACTATCCCAAATATCAGTCTGCACTTCTGCTGATTTTAAACTGGACAACGTGTTCTATTACCTCCAAAACGTTGTCAACAGATCTTTAAAGATAAAAAGAGAAAAGCCTTAATCGGCTGATAAAGATTAGAGTATGTTTGAGTTATGAATGCTCATCAGTAAAGACATTTTTACCTTGTAAAATTATTTCATCTAGGATAACTTTATGTGAAGGCGTATACAAGTCGGCCAAAATATTGATTGGATCGCGTGCTTTTGGGCAAAGTGAGGGTTGAATTTCATCCTTACAACTTGAACAGCCTGGAATGTTTGAATATTTAGACATATGTAGACAAATGAAAAAGTTAAGAATAATGATAAAATATAGATAACTTACATAATCCGGTTTCTTTACCCATCGGGATTCAATAAAATACAGTGAAATGCATAAATGAACGTCAATATTTTAACAGTAACAGAAATTTAAATTTTATGCAATGAAATCGACACTGAGTACATACTGCAAACTAATTCATATACTACCACAGACAATTTGTTTGTTAATGTAAGAAAATAGGCAGTTGCAGCTAGAATCTGCAATTTAAAGTTTGGACATAAGACAGCCAGCCTTGTCATAAACAGGCTCGGTATCAAAAGCTCAAAACAAATAAAATGTTATTCAAGATGATAATATCTCTTATACTTATCTGATTTAGCTAAATCTATCGAAACATTATTCATCTCAATAGCATTTTGGTTTTTCGCATCAAATTCAAGGGTTATAATATATTTATCGTGTAATATTTTAAATTTCTTTAATTTTTAAAGGGTGACTTTGGGTTTGACATTCAAGAATTATCTGCTGTTTACTTTTTCAATACCTTCATTATTCCCACTGTGACATCAGGAACAAGATATTCAGCAAAGAGGACCCTTTTCAACGAATTTATTCCCAAGCTGTACATTCGTATTTATATATGTATAATATTTAAAGACTGTAATCTATGAGGAAGATTTGACTTAATAAGGGGTTGAAACAATAATAATGGTGGTTATAATTATTATGTTGCTAGTTGATGAAGTAAAGGTCGAATGATAATAAAAAAGGATTACCTAAGATTTTAAATCATTTGTAAAGTAGATTAAAAAGGGTGAGAACGTGATAGAGTTAATAAGCAATCAAAGGATTAGGTAATATGAGCGATTATCATTTGACTATTTGAGATAGCCTTAGTTTGGCAGACCAGCATTTGTACTGGGTGACGATTGAAGATGAGATGAAAATCCGCACCGCGACTGGATTCAGACTATAATATGAGTGAGACAAGTTAACTGAAGTAAATTGAAAATGTTTTGTTAAAAGTTGTGATTATTAGGAAGGTCGCGGGTTCGATCCCTGCTGGTGGGGTCGTGGGTGCGCACTGCTGAGGAGTCCCATACTAGGACGAAACAGCTGTCCAGTGCTCCCAGGTTTCCTTTGTTCCTCCAACTGATGTCAGTCTTCGATGAATAACAACTTGAATTATTAGGAAGATCAAATAAAATAACACCGGAAACAATTAAATATAAAAATAAAGTGATGCATTAACACAACCACACGATAGGGTGGGACAAAGACAGTGTACTTAAATATAATTAGGTGGAGAGAAATTGATTACTGAATCTTTGTTCATCGGATCAGCACTCAACACGTGTAATAGAAATGACGCAACACCTACACCAGAGATCTGGAAAATTTTGCTACCAATACAAGCAACTCATATATAAAGTGACGTAACTATAAAAATCAAATATCGAAGGTGGTGTGATTACATTGATATGATTATGAGCAATGTTAATTTATGCTGGAAACGTCATAAATTGAATAATACTAGATCAATGTGTGTTATAAACCAAATAAACAAGTTTAATACAGAATTAATTTCTACCTTCGTGCTCAAGTTTTACACTTATATTAATATAGTGGTAATGACGACATAAGAGCACAAAGATTAATCTGGCGAAAAAAGGTGGGTTGAAAAAAGGGAATAAGGGGTCGAAGAACACCAACCCTAAGATAAATTAAGGCCAAGGTAGAGATAAAGACTGTACAAACTCCTTTTGCACACGAAGGTCAGGATCCAATTCATGGATAACCAAGGCCCATTGTAATCCCATCATTTTGCCGGTATATCTCACCATCGAAACTAAATCGCGCACTAAAAATACGTCTCATCAATAGCTCTCCTAAGTAGTTTATTGGAATTCCTACTTCAATATTGTGTGTGTATGTAACAAATAGTTTCAGTGAGTGGTACACTGGTAAACAATAAGGTAACGTCTAAGGAAAACACAACTTTACCGGTGGTGTCAACATCCTTAATCCTATCAATAAACTTAAATGTATCACGAACAGAACAATGAGACACTTGACTTCTGACTCGTTCTAGTATTTCACCTAGCCACTGAGCGATACAATGATAAGGAGAACCTGACATATCCAAAATCGGGCGAAGAGGTAATCCTGCTTTATATATTTTCGGTCTCCATAGGGAAGTGGAATTAACGAACCAACGAGTAGCATGCGTTCATACAACTAGAGAAAATCACATTTTCCTTCACTTTCTTTCGAATACCTGTGAGTTGGATCTCAACGTGTTATGTTCTTCTCACTTGCAGTTTTATCAAGCTTAGTTTGATCGGAGAGAATAGACAGCACTTTATTCACGTAGTTCTGATAATTCATCAGAACAACACTCCCTCCTTTATCAGGACGACTTAATATGATGTCATATTTGTCAGCAATCAATTTGAGTTTTGCTATGTTTTTTCGTCAGCAGATGATTCAAAGTAAATTTTGAATTAGTGAATTGGTAACAGCAGTCAAGTATAGTGAATCTAAAATGTTGGAAATCCTGTGGTGATGCTGGAGCAAGATTGAAAGTCTGACTAATTGGGTTTTCAAACTGCACCTAAATGTGGAATCTGTTGACTTTCAACATGCTGCTGCAGAACTTAAGACCCAATGATATATTTTGTATATTTGCCCAAAATACGTGCTGCAGTGGCGGTGGGATGTTTTAAGCGTCTCTGATAAAGAGAAAAGCTGACTGATAAACGTATACAAGTATCAACTTCCTAACGAGATAAGCAATGGTCTTAGAAGAATAGAGAGTTTATATTTCTAACTGAATAATTGAAAGTGAGTCATCGAAACAATGATGAATTCTGTATTGTACTGAAAATCTTAGCATCAAAAGTATTAGCTTAAAATAACATCTGAAAGACTTATAACCCAGTGTTAATCGATTGGTTTACCTGTTGAACTCACACTGTTGCCAATAAAATAAACTAGTAGTAATTTATTTATCGTTTTAGTACATTTGATTGATGAGAAGTTGAGTTAAATAAAAAAATTTTAAACTTACTTGATTGACTAGTCTGATCAGAAATGGGTAAATTGCCTTGAACTGTATTGTTTGCCTTGACCCAGGGTGATTCCAAATTCGCATCATTAAAATGGACCGGTCTCGACTTTTCGCCAGATTTCCTGCATTTAAGAAAGAAATTACTTTGTAGGAAATGATTTACATTCTTCCTGCTTCAAAAGCTTACGATGGTCTAGAGCTACTTTCTACTAACTTAAATGCATAGATTGCAAGTTGATGTGGCCTTAACAATTCATTCTGATTACTTTGTCACTTTCATTTCACTTCACTTTGTATACTTCTCTTTAGTTATCATCATCGATTTTCTCTCCACTGACCGCATTTGACCCATATTTCATTACTTAATATCAACTCGTCCCTTACTCAGTAACCCATTTTGCATGTTTTAGTTAAATTTTTCATCATTTTACACTTCTTTGACAGTCCTTGTCCTTTATCTCACCACTTACTATCACTTTATTCTTTATTCAGTGATCCATTTTATATTTCTTCCACATGAACAAATCCCATCACCAAGACCAAATGTATATTATATATTCATTATTTTGGTGTTGGCCAATACCTAAATTTTGTTAAACCATCAAATCTTAACTTGGTCTGGATATCTACAAAAGTACATTGTGTATACTGACTGAGCAACTCTTTAGTGCAGTTATCTCTCATTTTACTGATCATAAATACGACTGTATGGCTTGATAAGGAAGTCGCTGAAAAGAAATACTTCTTTGAGGATACATATCTTGTTCTTATTCATGAAGGAATGGTTTTGTTTTGTAGTTTTACAAACTGCCTGTTTTCCTTACAGCATTTTCATGATGTAACGAATCCTTCATGGATTAGTTATTTTAAGCGATATAAGTTTACAAATGTGATAAATACGGCTGGAATTTTAAAAACTGGAATGTGGTGTCATTTGCTTTTTGGTGTCTTCCCGACGAAAGCTACAATACTGATCATTGTACATGCAAATTGTTGCCCAGTGACTGCTCTTCAGCAGTGCCGCGGTTAACAATAAAAACAGAAGTGGTTCAACGCGTTTAATACTTCACATGCCTGGGAAGTCGGACCAGCCCCTAGTAGCTCAACGGCTGACCAAATCTCTGGACGGATACAACGTCAACGTACGCGATCTGTGCTGCCACCGCGACAATAGACTGTCCATTAAGCGTTCAATGTTACTGCTCTGAATTTCATTCCGTTCTGATCTATAGCTGTGAAACATGCCCATTAATGGTAGAAGACATTAAAAGGATTTAGGTGTTTGACCAGCGTTGCCTTCGTAGCAAAGACCGTATTTCATGGTGTCACTACATGGGTAACGCGAAAATCAGGCGCAGAATTTTAGGGAGTAAAGGTCAGTTGATGTGGTTGTGAACCTTCATCGACTGAGATGACTAAGACATGTGTTGTGAGTGCCTAGCCATAACCTGTCTTGTCGTACAATGTTGGCCGAAATAGGTTCAGGCTGGAAAGAGGCTCATGGTGACCAAACTAAAACATGGTATCAATGCATGAAGTCCTTGACGGTTGGTTTGAGCCACGCAGGGCGATGCAGACTAACCTATTGGGGTTCGCAGGATAAGAGAATCGAGTGGTTGGAGATTCTAGGTGATGCGGTTTAGAACTGATGTTAGTGACGCAGAAGTATACACACATTATCTTCATTTTAATCGCTATACTTAATCTCATTATCTTTTCATTTGTTCTGCTCTCTTTTACTGCTTTCTACTTCGTTTGGGCAACTTTTCCTTCCTTCTTCACCTTCCATCTATCTCCCCTGTTACTTGATGTACTGATATGAGATGTGGTAAATTGGATCGTTACAAAGTAATGTCTAGTCCTATGCTGATCTTGATGATGGTTCAAAGAGGCATTTTTCTGCAGTTTGATAAAGATTTCTTGACTTCGAGATAGGTTTCACGAAGGCTTGCTGCTACACAACATTAGTTAAAATTAAACACCACCAGAGAAACTTAGTGTTTTCTAATGAAATTGACTTTAAAGCTAACTGGAGATGATCTACAGGAAGCTCTGCTTGATGTGGATTTCAGGCTTACTAGCAGTCGCCCGCATGGCTTACCTGCAACTATGAGGGTAGTGATATCCTCTTTGAGACTGAAACCTAATAGAGCTAGTGCTACACTCAGGGACTATTACCAATGAGATATCCAATCATAACTGACCCCCTGTGAGACAAGATTATATAAACTGACTGGTTGCTGTATAGTAACCTGTTTCATGTTGTATAATCCTGGATGGTTACTAAAACCTACTAATGATTTTGCAGTGTATTCACCGACCATTAAACTCACCTTCACAGGTTTGAATATAGTAGGAAAAACCAGTTCCCTTAAGATTTCAAATACATCTTACCGACGAGTTTCAGCAGCCATGAAACTTATTTGTACAGTTTCCTACCAATTACCTCCAACTGAATAATGCTTATCCAAGTGCATGGCAATGATATGCCTCTTAGCTTGGTGACTGCATTGGGAAATATTCGATGGAATTCTATCAGCACAATGCTACACAATATAAAATTGGTTGCTTTCCAGTGACCACTCAATAAAAATATTTTTGTTTGTCCTATAAAATCTATATAGCTAACTGGACTTGCACAAAATGTCTAATATAACTGCTCAAATCAGATATATTTTGGGTGTGTAGTTTTAGAAATGAAAAGAAGTCCTATGTTTCAGGTTCTCAGCTAAAATAGTAGCTACTATTCTAATAAATTGATGTACCCTGTCGTTTTGAAAATGTTATGCAGTTTGCCGCTGAAGAATAGAATAAGGTGGTTGCACAAATGAGAAACAGAATTTCTAATCAACATTTCAATGCAGTTAAATTACCTCACCAAAGAAAATTTATTTTCCAGCTCTGAACGAAGTGTTCATCAGTTTGATTGATAAAACAGTGCAAGGAAGGTGTATTTAAACTTATGCCTGTGAACATCTTCATAGACAGAAATCATGGAATCTCATTTGATTGTTTGAATTACTATAGTAGTTAAAGTATATAAAACCGCTCCTACAAAACTTACTTTGGGTGCCATAATTCGGACTTATATAAAAAGCGAAAACATTTCAGTTGGCTCAAGTAATGCATTATCTTTCCACTATACTTCGAATACATTACATGGCACACTCAGCATCCCAGATTTTTATTATTATTATTTGTCCCTTGGGTTCCTAATGGAACATACCGATTCAGTAGGACGTCTCCAATACGCTCTGTTCTCTGAAATCTTTTCGACCTGGCTCCACGGCAGCCCACAACCTCTCATTTCCTCCTCACTCGATCTACTCCATGTCACCCTCGACACCGATGCCCAACTCGTTGCTTCCCATCGGGGTTCCACTTGAGGGCTTAACGCGGCTAATCTTAAATGCAGATAAATGTCAGCGGACTGTAAGAATAAAACATCTATAAGGACTACCCAGTGTAGCAATTCGCCAAGTTGTGTCACCCCACTGATCAATAAAATTCTCAAAATGTTTCTTTTAAAATGTCTCTTAGGCATACTTATTTCAAAACTTGTAAAGCCATGAAGATAACAGGACATCAGAAGAAGTAGAAGCATATCATAACAGCTATTAGGTAGTGCAAAGTTTGAATAACATGTATCCAGATTAGTCCACCATTGAATAGCATCTTAGAAAAGTTGAGAGAACTGGATCTTCCTGGGTCATATTACTTTTACTAACAACCTATATCGATACAACACTACAATAAGTCCCCATAATAATCATAAATTATCAAAATGGATAGTAGAGATTCTAGAGAGATTTCAATGTCTATTTAGTTACTAAACTGGGAAGTGTGGTTCTGTAGTACTACTCACTTCAAATAATCCAGTTTGCTTCGAAATGCTACTCATGTAGAAATAGTGTTTTAAAATGATGGGCATGCAAACCAGACAAAACTTGTAATCCATCTATTTTAAATGTCAGAACAAAAATAAATAGGCCACTTTAATCGATGCTCATTATTTAAATCGTTGTTAAATGCATTTACCTGCACTCTGTAACCTTTCAAGCTAACATTATGGATGTTTACTCGATATCACAATCTTTATATGTTTACCGGAGGTTTCTCAACTTTATATATATATATATATATATATATATATATATCATTATTGTTCCTTCTCTGTTGTAATGCTCAAACAAAAACAAATTCATTTGACTGCATTTTTCTAATGAAAGCTTCTCAGGATTGTGCAACCAATCATTGCAATAATGCAGATAACATGATCTGATTAAACTTCAACCACTGTACGCTCTTCTTTGTTAATAAAAATATCCACCTAATTAATCCCCATCTAAAGATTAAAAGTTATTTCACTTCATTATGGCTTCAGCGACAAAAATATTGGCTTCAATCAATGAAATACAAATGTGGTTTGAACAAGTCAGATTGATGGTTCTTGTATAACTGAGAAAGTTTTTAAAGGACAGTCGTTACCTGATATGTTCATAAAAGAAATAGTCTGTTGCTTTCTTGGTTCATTGTGGTGTAGTCTGTGACAAAAGTATGATACTTAAGTCTTCTGTTCATGTAGCTTAGTGGCTGAATAGAAGACTTCTGTATAAACTGATTGCAGCATCTTCGAAACAAACTCTTTCAAACAACTATTGGTGAACATATTCTGATTCACTTGTAGGTACACTAGTTTTACTGACTATTTTACGTAACTCACTTTATATGCAGCTCCTGACTCAAATAAAACTGGATGCAGGCGTTTGAATGACTGTCAATTCAGATCTTTCTAAATAAATAACTTTGGATACAGGTATGTTTCTGAATTAAGATCATATTGCTGTAGTGAATTAAACTTAGAAGGCTGATGCTGTGAAATCAGTTTTCACGTTTCACAAAAACCTTTGTAGCTATTCTGAATGATAGCTGAAATCTCTCCGTTTTAATCCAGCGTCAGTGACTCAATCATGTATGACAACATACCATAATTTAAGCTTGGTAACTTCAAGTGGCCGGAGGCTTATAAATAAATTCTGAAATGTTATGTACCTCTTCATAAATCGTTAATGAAAATAAGACTGCTGATCTTATATCCATAAAGTATGCTTTTAAAGGGTAA